AAAAGCAATAGAGGAAGAAAAATTAAATCAACAAAATAAAGCTATGAAAATGTTTAATGAAATTGACACCAATAAAAACAATAAAATCGAAGTGGAAGAAGTAATTGCTTACAATACATTTGATCAAAATAATGATGGCTTGGTCTCACAAGATGAAGTTAATGTAAGTTTAATATATAAATTAAATTAATAACATAATATAAAAAGAGTAAAATAAATTTAGTATTTTAATTATTCAGATATTAAATTAAATTATCATTGTTTCATTTAAAATATTTATTATATTTATATAGTATTTTATGGAAAATAAAAAGGAATTTGATATAAAAGACTTTATGTCAAACGGTTGGAATCGCTTAAGCCTATTAATTTTTACAAAGTCTTTTGATGAAAAACAACATGTAGATAAAAAAAATGTCAAAAAGGAATTTCTAAATCAAGATTTTAATTATAAATCTGAGAATGAAATTGAAAAGTACAATATTGAAGATATTGAAGCTGTAAGAATTAATATATTATTATATACTGAAAAAACCAAAATCATAATTGATGGTAATTTATTATAAGTATACAATTTTCTTAATAAATTTTCATGTTAATCAATACAAAATGTAACAAAAACTAAATGTATATTCTAGGCAATTGCTGTTCCTTTGTACAATATCTGTCATTACTCATTAGTGAGATAATTTAAATAAAACCTAGGTTAAAATAGTTAAAAATTATCTAGCGTTAAACAATTTAGATCTTAAATTACAAATTTAAATATAAAACATTTTATTTGTTCTTCATAAAAATGAAGTATAAAAAAATTTAAGTTATAATGATCAGCTTGAACTTAATATTAAGCATGCTAAATGCTTGGTATCAACTAATCCAAGAATATTGAATAATATATTAAGCAAGTAGTACGAAAAAGTTTATCAGAAAAATAATTTTATTGTCATTTAATTTTCTAATAATACTAACGACCATAGACTGATAAAAAATTAAAGATGTAATTGACTTGCTTACTGTAGATAAATACATAATTTGTGTGATATATTTTGTACAAATTGGTTATGAAATTTTTATTTCAGAATCAAAAAGAGCTTATGAACTATTTAAAGAAGCAGACAGAACACTTAAAAATCTTCAAAAACAAGTATATGATTTACAAAAATCAATAAGTAAAAATTTTGGTCCTGATGACGAATTCGCTGCTTTAGACGGACAGTGCTATGAGCTAACTAACGATGAATACATATATAAATTATGTTTATTTGAAAAGGTAAGATAAAGTATTTATGTCTATATTTAAATTTCATCTAAAAAAATAGGTAGTCTATTAAGTAGATTGTATTCAGTTTATTTTTTATAGATAACTCAAAAGCCAATAAAAGGAGGACCTGAAGTTAACTTGGGTGTCTGGAGAGATTGGACAAACTTTATCAATGATAAACCTCAATATCACACCATGCTGTATGATAGAGGACAATACTGTTTGAATCATTATCAAAGGTTTTCTTACGTAAGTTTTTTGTCACATGTAACGTGTTCAAACATTGAACATTTGTATATTGTATACATATATTTTAACACATTTTACATCAGATAGTATAATGATACTATTATAGTGTTGTATTGACCTTACATTTGTCATTTTAAAAACAGGTTCACTTAAGCTGTGGCTTGAAACCTACACTTGTATCGGTGTCAGAGCTTAATCGATGTGAATACATAATGGAATTTGAATTGCCCTCGGTGTGTGTGATACAAGATACTAAATATTTAAGAAAACTTGAACGAGAAGAATTATAACCGTCAAAATATATACTTAAACTATTATTATACCAAGTGATTTTCATTCCTCTTCAATATAAAATTTGTAAACATGTTTATAAAATAATGTACATAATAATTATTTAAGATAGTACTCTACATAGGGTACTACAAATACATTAATTAGTGTCATAATATACTATACTGTTACCCCTATTGTTAATAAAATAAAATTGTTAGTTAAATTACTTGAGTTAATTAAATTTCTTATTTATATAACTCTATCATTATTTAATCATAACAACATCAACAAAAAAAATTATAAATATGTGAAAGGTGTAGGGCAGAGGTTCCCAACCTTTTTTGACTCACAGCACCTTTAATCATTTTCTAAAAATTCAGAAGCACCCTATAGTGTAGGGTTAGGTTTAGTAGACTATAGGGCCTATAGACTACTTCGGTTTTATTCAGTAGTGCATAAGTATAAACAAAAGTAGAAAAACGTAGGTATATAGTATATGCAAATATTTTATTTTATTTTATTATGATTTTCATGAAATTGTTTTTTCTTAAAAAATATATTTCAAATAATTTTGTGGAACTAAATAAAACTCGCAGCACCCGGGTTGGGAATCTTTAGTGTAGTGTAAGGTAATTTTGTCTACTCACCTCTTGAAATCATCAATTTTGATAATTTAAAAAAAAAAATAAAGATTAATATTTTATACAAGTTTTATTGAATTTTGTTTTTATTTTTTTTGTAAGTTTTATTTTTAGAAATTATAATGAACATTAAATATTTACCTATTTTGAGTATTTAAAATCTATTTTTCTATCATTATTCAAATTTGAAGTCTAACGTTATCTGAATAATTTAATAAAACTTTCTTCTTTTAGGAAAGTATGAAGAATTTTACTAGTGATATGGTACCGTTTCCTTCAATCACTTGCAAATTGTCCAAATATTTTGATTTTATTGTTTGTATGGCTGGCACACACCATTATTAGAAATCATCTAAACCTTTGCTCCTAAATAAAATAAACTAACTTTATTTCATATAAAAAAGAAAATAAATAAGAAGCAAGTCTTATAAAACTTAATATTTTAAAAATCTCTTGATACTATCAAATTGTATATAATTAAAGTTTATACAACAAGAAGATAGTATTAGTGTGTCATTTTACTTCAAAATTTCAGTTGTTATTGCAATTACTTGTATGTGCAGTTATTATTAATTATTATTCAACTATAAGAATTCAAAAGAATAAAAATGTATGTCAATTGATTCCAAACATTCTGTTTAATTCTTATATTACTTATACTTATTATACCAATGTGCAACCTGAAAAGAACTTAAATTTTTCAAATAAATTATTGATGAAAGGGACTTAATATTATGTACTATATTTATTTATATGAAGCCATTAATAATGTAGTGAAAAATAGTTGGATTCAAATATTATTACTTAATACCATCAATCAACATAAACTTGCATTTATAGGAACAGTTTTAAACCATATATTGATAGGAAACAATGTAACTAAGTGGAGTGTTTAATTAAAATATACTAAATGTTTGTTTACTAACATTGAAGCTGAACATTTCCAAGTGTTTATTCTAATAGCTTCATATAAATGCAGTAATAAATTAGAAACCAGGGTTATAAGATATTAATTCATTAATCACACATTTAAAGGAATCAAAATTCACATTTTTTTAAATATATTATCAGATAGCATTATATTATAATAAGTTTTGGTAATAACATGCTGATTGTATCCTAATATAATGATCACAAAAATTAAAAAAATTAAATAAAAATACTAATAAAAAATGATTTTCTTAACATCTCGATCGAACATGAACTTCGACATGAAAAGCTCATTAAATTACAATATATATATATAACGTAATCAAATTATGAATAATATAAATGTCCATTTATGAATTGAGGCCTTTGTGAAAATGTAAACTTAATTATAGTATTATTTTTTTGTTCTTTTGCAATAATAAATTATCCCCAAAGGCCAAAGTTCTCTTTCACTAAGTATTAGTCCTGTATTTTAAACAATTTAACTAAAAAAAATTATCATTAAAAAAAAAAAAAATAATAATAATAATAATAATAAATAATAATAAAATTGAAACAACTACAATCATAATGAATATTTAATATTAGGCGTGTATAAAAAATAAGACTTAAGAAATAAATACTTGAATAGTGAGTATAGTTTTGGCACGGATGTCCTACTTATAATCCCTGTAAGTCATCTGTACCTTCTGATCAGGTCAAACATATATTTTATCATAAATATATATATATTTATATATATATATAAAAAAAAAAACAATTATCAATAAAATATACATATGCTACTTCTGATCATAAGGCAGAGTGGAAATAGAAATCTTCTAATAAAATAAGTAAAAGTAATTTGAACAGGAATTATAACATAGTTGTATATTGACCAAATGTATTTTTAATTTAAATTAATGTTGTACATTTTAACTAGAAATAATTAAAGTATTGCATTTCGTTGCTTTTATACTAAGACTTAAGTAAAATGAAAAGAAAAATAAAGTAGTTAAACCAGTTAACTGTTCAAAAAATATGATCAATAGTATTTTTTATTGATATTAAACAATAAAAACATGTACCTATCGATAAAAAAAAAATAAATAAATTGTAGTAAAGCCTATGCACAAATCAATAGCTCCTATGAATACTGGAAGCACGATTTTGAGAAAAATAAATGGGGCAGGAAAATATTTTAGATAATCGAATAACACTATAAATATATATTTTTAAATTTTTATTAATAATAAGACGATAAAAATAGCAATATTAAAATCGGATCTCAAAACAAGATGTCAACTTGTTAAAGGGGTCCTCTGTATAATGTTCTTTCTTTGAACATAAATTTCTATTGATCGGGATTCCAAAAGTTATTTGTTTTTTTTTTGTTTATCATTCAAATAAATATATTCAATACATGCTTTTAACTGAACAATATTATAAATGATGAAAACACACTTCCCTGAGCCTAAAGTGTGTTTACATTAATTAAAATATGACAAGGACACTCTTGTTAGGTCCTTTTTTATAATTTAAATAAAAAAATTCCATTTGTTTCACTTATATTCAAAAGAGGTAACAGTGCTTGCGTTTCCTTCTTGGTTTTGCTTTACGTTTTTCTCGCAACCTTTGTTCTTTCTATAACATTAATAAATAATTATAATAATTATTATTATTATTACACTCAATTAAATGAATACTTACATCTTTCCTAATTTCTCTGACCAAAGTGTAAAATGCTTCATCGACTCCTTGTCTCGTTTTAGCAGAGGTTTCAATAAATGGTACACCATATTGTTTAGCTAAATCAGATGCTGCTTTAACATCTATCGCTCTACTTTGTAAATCACACTTATTTCCTACCACTGAAAATTTAATTTAATTTAGTATAAGTACCTAATTAATAGAACTCCAAAAGTATATTTAAATATTTTTAAAAATAAATAGGATAGCAAAAGAATTAATAATTTATAATCATAAGAGTTCAAATAATGATGAATTTGATACTTACAAACCATTGGGACATCTTCTGCATCTTTTACTCGTTTTATCTGTTCCCTGTAATTACTGATATCTTCAAATGATTTGGTATTATTAATAGCAAATACAAGAAGAAAACCTTCACCGGTTCTCATATATTGATCACGCATAGCACTATAAAAAAAAATAATATATCATTAACTTTTTGTATTCAAAAATTACTTGAAATAAAAATTTACCTATATTCTTCTTGACCTGCTGTGTCTAAAATATCGAGTAACCTTTCTACATCAATTACTACTTGTTTACGATAAGAATCCTCTGAAAAGAAACAGCAAAATTATATAAATCATTTTTCTATTAGATATATAAAATGTATTATTTAAAAAGTGATCTATTAGTCATTATGAACTAAATTATAAACAATGATGAAACTTTAAGTGTGAAATATAGTTTTAAATGAATAATTATATATTTATATGTTAATGACTGCCCTAAATCTGAATGAAGATTGTTCAATTGGTAAGTAATAAATATTATTTATTACATCAATATTTGAATAAAGATTCTTATTTTGTATTTATTATAATTTTTAAAAATTATTATTTAATCACTAAATTCTTTAAATTGTGTTTTAAGGAATACAGAAAACAACCAATTCAAATTGTGAAATGACTTTGATCGTGACCTGACTAGAAATTCTAAAAATGCATATAATTTACTTTATTCTGGTTTTACCATATCAGCCAATAACTAATTATAATTTTCCTAAAGTTAAAGGTAGCCACTTAGTGTAAATAGTACATGAAATTCCATGATTTGAATACAGTCCTTCAAATGATTCTGTATTTTGAGTAATACAACTGAACGAAGTACACTCT